TCCAACGGCGAGCCACGAAATCAGTTCGAGGACTCAAATCTAAGCCTTACGAAGAACGCCTCCATTCACTAGACCTTTACCCATTAGAGTATAGGCGTCTTAGAGGTGATTTATTAATAGCCTATAGTATTCTTAACACTTCTGGACATCCTCTTAAACACCTACTTAAGCTTAGTTCGAATAATAACCTAGGGGTAAACACCCAGAAACTGGAAACACAACATAGCAAGACGGAATGTAGACACAACTTCTACTCCTTAAGAGTTGCCAAAAGCTGGAATTCGCTGCCGGCCGAGCTAGTCCAAGCGACTTCTCAGGAGTCCTTCAAGAGGCAACTTGACCTATTTTTAAGGACCAAGGACAGCATCACACTATGATTTACCAATTTATTTTACTCTTTTATTGTTAACATACCTAGGTTCCTGCCTGGAGGATTTGGTGATCCCCTGCTACTAGACACGGAAGCCTGTTAAGCGAAAGCTTCCTCTATTCCGTCCACAACCATTTGAACCATTTGAACCACTTGAGTGTACCGTCAGTCGCCATCCCAAGAGAAAGATGTTAGACCATGAGCGTTTACGTAAACATAAGGCTGCTGTAGATACGTAGGTTGACGGAGTGTTCCAGACAGGTTGGTCAGTAATTAGAGCTAATGTAATCCTACACGGGTGTTCGTCCGTTGAGATATCATTCAAAGCTTAAAACTTTACTTGGTAGAATTAACTATGTAGTTTTGTCTTTTGGATCTCCGTCTAGGTGATAGGAAAACGTTTTCGACTGTGGGAAGGTGTGCTTCATGTTATGTCCTTCCTAAAGTTGAGGGTTAAAACAAGTAGGCTATTAATAGTCAAATTAATCGTGAGATGATACTTGGATTTATCACTCACACTATCCACGGGATTTATTTTACTACCCAGCATTCTTCTGAAAGGCTATGTATAAAACGCTGTTAGTGTTGCTTCTGATAAAGAGCTTTATAGTTTGAAGATTTTGGTCCCAAAATAGTTTCCGTGGGCTTTTGTGAGAACTCTTTCATGTTTCGCTCTAAATGGAAATCCTCTGGGATGTAACTTCGTACTGAACTGAGTTAGTTATATTTTGGTATGAAAAGGATCATGAGATATATGATGAATCATGATTATATCCAATTTAATGATTCTGTACCGCACAAGTCGTAAGTTTGGGGCTTCAAGAGGGGCTGATCAGGGTTCATTTATCAGTTGGAGTACACTTTTAGTTCCCTTTCTTTGAACACATCCCACGACATCATAATGCTTTCTTAGGTAGAGGATCATAATCCAACAGCTTTATCCAGATGAAGTCTTAGATAAGTGCTGAAAATAGTTTGAAAAAGGTTCAGAGTTCAGCTACCTAATGCTTATTAAAGAAACTCCAAGAAAGAATACGCTATATATAGTGCCATTAAGAGCCACCCGAAGTTTGACAGATTGATACCCCAGGCCTTCAGTAGTGGAAATAACGTTGATAACACTCAACAAGTATGGAATGGGCGTAGTATTGCTACTGTTTCCCATTGGTATCCTGAGTTAATTGGTGTTGAGAAGAAGGAGATTATTTGCAGTTTGTTCTGGTGCACTGTTCAAGTCCTCTACGACAGCCAAGATGTCATCCAGGTCAACAATTTATCTTCAGATCTATTGGACGTCTATGTAAGTCAGGGTTTGAGATTCTACATGGTACGTCAACAGTAGACAATAAAGTGAGAGCTTGAATGGTCAAGTGTTTTGTTATTGAGAACGGATTAGAAAAATGGAGATTTATCTATTCCAGGCAGCTAACAGGTTTGTGTTATACAGTCTGACTAAAAGTGGTGTTATGAGTCAGATACGAACGAGTTATTAAGTTAGTGGTTATGCGGAGATTCATCCAAAACTTTCCTATGACCTTCAGTGTTTCAGAAGGCAAGGAAATCATTATATTATTGGGAGATTTCAACCTGATGCCCTGTGTTTATACATGTATCAAAGAGTTAGGTTTAGAAACATTAATTGGTATTATCTGTCTAACCCATATGTTCTCGCTTCAAAGTCACACCGGTGCTTTGTGAAAGCCTTATAAGAACGATAACATTCTTATCGACACACACATAAAGACCTAAGAATCACGTAGATTGACCACTCCTGCATGACTTACCAAAGCAAAGTCGATAATGTCACAGAGTTGGCCTGTTTTATCTAGAGCTTATATTCTTAATATATTGCGTATGATTTGAGCACTCGAGCTCTAGAATCATCCAAGTTGCAGATAAGAAGACAGAAGAAGACTGGAGAATGTGTTTGTTGGGCAGGAATCAAAATGCACAGGAAACCGTGTGTATTTATAAATATTAGCGTTTGTTAAATCAACATTATAATTCAACCAATCCACAAAGAGACGTGATATGCCAGTAACTAACAATAGCATGCTATGTTAATATTATAGAAAGCTCCATCACGTTCTGATTAGATAGAACTCTTCAGCTCCTCTAAGGCCTGTGGATGGCCCGTCGTAGTTCACGAAAGTCGTCCCAACATGACCGTTACCGACTTCCAAATTTTTTTTACCGTCTTAGGTCCCATGTAAACCTTGTAGATTAGTGTACACTCAAATTGAAAAATAGAAATTATGAATTAATGTTGTTCTGCTGTTGCTATGCAGGAACAGTCAACCGGTATGGCATGGTTCAGATTTTCAGGCGTGGTCATCCAATATAGCTCATACCTTTATACATTCAACATGTTATTTGTTCCCCAGCCGAAACGTGTTCCCCAACAGTACTAAACATCATACTGCTGATCGTCATGATAAGACGAGTCAGTATAGACGATGGTGCGAATTCTACATTAGATCTTGTAGATTAGGCAATCACGTCATTACAGATCGCCGATTCTGGGGTTTAGTCTAATGTAATAGCAACAAAGATAGACTTACTAATACCGAAATAAACTATAAGCTGTTATCAAAAAATATTTTAATACATCAAAATACTGATAATTTAATGCATTTCGGAATCGCACCTGGCAGACGAGCATGAGTGCGTCCAGCATTGATGTGTCCTAAATTCACTGTTGTGTTTCTTAATGAACCATTATTTATATTTGTTGAACAATCCAGCATTCAAGAGATTCCAATATATCTGTGCCGTTAAACTTTTCAGTAATTCCTTTTCGATGTTACATGAACCTGAAAGATGACAATGAGCAATAACTTCTTTGTAATAATGTAAAAAATGAACGGAAAGGTATGAAAGCTGCACTATTTTAAAAATATAGGCACAAAAAATAAACCTAATATACCTGAAGATACTTTTTCTAATAAGTACGGGTGCCAGTTATAATAACATTTTGTGAGACGTGTTGTTTGTGATAATTAATGATTTCTTTTGTACACAACTCCACAGATGATTCAAATTCCAAATACGTGAAGTCAGTTGTGCCCATTGTGTCACTGACTTCGAGAGAACACTTATACATGCAGAACTCCATAATTAGTAATTATCACTAGGCCTCATTGTCACAACCGGAAAGCATATTCCTAGCAGTCAAGGAACGATATTCCACCGAAAAAAGGATAGATTGGTTTAATTTGCTTTAAAATTAAGTATCTAACCAACAAATAAGAACTACTCAACCAATTACCGGCTATCGACAAGCAACGTTCCTAAAAACCAGAAATTCCACTCCTGTCTTAGTGATACAAGACAGAAGTAGTCAGTTCATACAGTAGTAACTGAGATACAGTAATACATTATGTCGAAAGCAAAATAATAATGTTGAGTAAAATGGAGATAAAACGGGCATTCGAAGACTCATCAGCATCAGGAAGTTATCAGTTTTTAGAATATGTAGACAATGTATTTGAATACAAATAAAAAATATGAACGTAGTGTGCACAAGTACAGAGAGGGATAAAAGAAGCATCATTTTGAAAGGGACTCAAAGTGAAGTTCATATATCAAGTGCATTCATGCGGATTTTCACATGAAAATAAACACAAAGACACCAAAAACTCCTTCATTGTACTTGTTCGGTTCATTTAGTGGTGATCTTTAAGTAGTAAGGAAATACTCTTTGAAAACCTCATTTGCTTGATGGAATCTTCTATTATTGGGACCGAATGAGAAGTTGTGAAGTGAAGGATCTGGGTTTTTGAACCCGATATATCTGGGAGTTTATCTGGTCATAAATGTATATACAACTGTGTAAATACATGTGAAAATAAGATTAGCAAATAATGACAAAAATGTGGGTTATACAAGAGACAACCCCACAGACTTAGAATACCTGAAAGTAACATCTGGGTACGAATGATTGCATCGAAACTCTCTGAGAACAATGAACAGAAGATGATAAGGTTTAGAAGAAAGATTTTATAAATACGTGGGTACAGAGGTATATCGACAAGTGAAATCATTTAATGCAGCATACATGCAAGAAAGGCATATCGTTTAAACGTTAAAAGTATTTTACAGGTAATAGCCGAACATACTGACGTTGGATGCCACATAAAAGATAAATAGTAAGGTGCCTCGGGTTTTCAGGGTTTGACAACACTTATCCGTAACACCTTTACAATTTGAGAATACCATCTCAGTCAAATCAGAAGTCAGTAATGGATGAGCTCGGAAAAAATATTTGGAGGATTCCCAATATGCTGAAGAGCGTTTGATCCAATCTGGCTAGTAGTTTCAAGGGATAAGTAGCACAAAGTACCCATTTTTGATCTGGTGTGGATGCGCCTTCAGTTAGGGTGTGTCCACTAAAATAATGACGAAAACCAATCGTCTTTCTACCTAGTCCTCATGAAGCAAACGCAAAGTTATCTTGAACGTATATTTTGTTAAATAGCTGATACACCAATCCACCTATTTAGTCACTGTAATACGAAGTCTTAGATGTGACCTTGTGCGGGTTTACTGAAAGTACTATAGACCAGGAGATCTGACGGGCTAATTGTTTGGCGCCGGTTACAATCGCTGTTTACTACTGACAACTGCCCATATGTTTCAGTTTTTTAGAAATGCTTTGGATACACAGAATGAAGAACTGAAAATGTTACATAATGAAGTAACAGAACTAGAAAGAGCAAACAGTGAAATACTTGATTTTGTTCATAAGAATGGAAGATTGCCAGAAATTGTGAGTCGACCGATTTGCATTTTACCTTTAAAGATAAATGAACGAGAAAATCTTGAATTAGCTTCTAACAAGGATGATATAAGTGTTTATCGCGGATCCGAAAGCAATCATGGTGACAAACATCAACAGCTTGAGGTATTCTTGAAGTCTATAAACATGTTGAGATTTTGCTATAACCAGGTCTCAACTTTTTACAGATTAATATAATTCCATCCAGAGTCCTATATTTCACCTACTAATTATTTTGGGCTCGTTGATAATCTTAGATTTTTCATATAGAGAGTAGTTCTGGTTATATCTTGTCATCTAAACAAAATGTTAGTTTTGCGACTTATTACATGGTAGTAAATTTAAATTCTCTTTGTCACTGTGAAAATCAAGGGCGTTACTGGTTCTCATCTGTTTTAGTAGGGTCGAAAATTCATGTGTGAGATAATCTTGGGATACAAGTAAAAAATATAAGAAATCCAGGTGATACTATAATTTATGGACGAACCAATCAGATATAAGATAACAGGTCATGGATTTTGGAGCAATACCCATTCATCCATTCGTCCAAATAGCGTTTTGGCATTTTAGCTAGTTATTTTGTGATAAAAACCCCAATTTTAATTCCTAACCATAACCATCCACTGTAAATCATAATTGCAATTCCCTCATTTAGTCCTAGTTAGTAGGTGGATATTCACAATGTCACTTTGGTGTTTTCCAAAGGTCATCCATAAATTATAGTCTCACCGAAATACATGCCAAATTCTTTTCCCGATAAGTGAATCTTTCAATAGTTTACTATACTGAGTTTACTAAATGTTCAACAAAGTAATTTAACTGATAATAATTACCTGTTTACCATTAGGATTTCTGTTTTGTGGTGGATAAAGAATGAATTAACAGTCCATCTTGTGTTTTCGTCAGAATGAGGTACAATATATATATATATATATATATATATATATATATATATATATATATATATATATTAGTAATTTAGTTACATATCCTCGTTAAGGCCGTTCGGCATGCTGATTTCATAAATCAGAAACATGCGTTAAATTGATAATTAAATAATGTGAACTATTACCAGTATATTACATTGAAAATTATCTGTTGGTCTGACTTTCAAATTGATTTATATCTCATTGTACATCTTGGTGTTATTTTGATCATTCGTGAATCAGTATTCTGTATAAGTTAATCTCTATCTACAGTCTTTTTTCTTTATTGTACCAAGCCATTTCATTCTTGTTTCGTTGAGCAAGTAGCAAATTATTTCTCACCCGCAACAAAAAACCATACCAGCAGAAGTGGCTTTTCCTTCATTGGTATATTAATTAATTTATGACTTAAACACGTCTGGCCTCATCTGTAATGCATCGGTCACCTGTGTAAAACTTAAAAAGCAGTATACTGAGTTCAAGTTCTCCATTGAAAATCTATCCAAAAGTTCTATTTCGGAAATATCGCTTCATTTTATTGCCGGTAAAAGCACGATTACTCTGGTTGTTATACGTTTATATTATTCAGGCTACATCTAACGCCTGCGCGTCATTTAATAATGACACTTCTTCATTCTTTTATTGAATGTACATGGATTCATTTGTTTTTCACCTCGGTCTTTATGGTTCTAGTCTTATATTACCTATCAGTCAACGGCTTCTTTCTTTCTTTTGGCTTTCCATTGTTGGCACTGATAGTTTTTGCGTCGTGCCTTGTTTTTTTTACTTTCTGTCTGTATACTGAAATGAATTATGATGACTTGAGTTCATGCATCTTAGTGCGAGGTTCTGTATTGTTTGCTATTAATGCATTGACATTGTCGCTTAGCATATTTAAATTGACTAGTTTATTAGAAATCGTTCAGCAATGTGATCAGGAGAAAGTCCTATGGGAGTACTCTGTGAATAAGTTCTTATTGCCTTTCCTCAAATCAACAAATTCACAACAAAACTATCAATATTTTCTCATCAGCCGCACATGTACTGATTATCATCATTAGTTATTATTACTCAAAGCAAGCTGATCACTTCGTTCACGTGTAGGAGGTGATATTGCTATTTGATGTTCAACCGGAAGTTTTATTATTATTATTATTATTATTATAGACTCTAGATAGCATAACTCAGTTCTATAGTCATTACACTAGAACTAAATTTCTTAGTAATTAGGTGCATCATTTATATACAGTGTGAGAATTTGTTTAGTAAGAATGCATCATTTTATGTCTCATTATTTCATTCAAATAATACATGACTGTATTAGTTTAAAATTGTCTCCTTGTTTTAGACTGTAACTAGGAGGTCGCCACATTCCTCAGTAATAACTGATGTGATTTCAAAAAACGCGGAAGAATTAAGCAGAGGATTGATGGTCAGTGTAGGAATTTCTCTGTTTTACTCTTATAGCATGAAGTACTTTCGTACCATTATTTATTTAAACTTTATTAAAATAACCATGTTTTACTTGACTTTTTATAATTAGATGTAATGTTGTTTAATAATGCAAATTATAGTCATATTACATTTTTATAGTGCCTACATTAGATCCTTCTTCTAATACGTTGAAAATCAGATCCATCAAACATCTAAACTGTCGTGTTACTTCAATATTTTTCTGTTTGTTATTATGGTATGTGAAATTTGATTTTGTAGTTGTACGAAAACTAATTATTTGCGTTTATTCAGGAGCGGATGATAAAATGCTTCCGTGAACAATCTTATTGTCGACTATTTGGTCAAATGTTAAGGGTGTCACAATTTTATAACCGTCTGTAGGGTTGTATATTGTTCAGTTTGTTATACTTGTTGTGTAGGGATATGTACCTATGTAATTAGTACATATGTATTGAGTTTGGAAAGTAAATCAACAGTAAAAATTTAAGAAATATAATATTATAGTATATGTGTTATTTTTAAATTTAAATTTTAGCCTTCATACTAGTACTATATGAGTGCTAATATCCAAAATCTTTTTCATACAGTCTTTAATCGACATCAGTAGGAAACTACAGTTGATACTTCTGGAAATTAACATTTCTTATAGGTGCTTGTGATCCCATTGTTTAGACTTTGTATATGTTTGAGCGATTGAGTCGAGGTTGTGTTACCATTCGGCACATGTACCTAGGCACAGTTAAGCAAAAAATGAACAGTTCAATGTAGCCAAACAGTCAACAACTGAATTGGCCAATGAAAAGTGAGCTGACCTCAAAGTAACTAGTGAATTTTGAGCGAGGGGATTGTACAGTGAAAAATGTTATTTGCAGGTTATATAGTTACGTTACGTAAATCTCAAAAGTACATATTGTCTGTTTACCAGCAAAATTATTGAAATAATTCATCCGAATAAACTTATTCTCTTTCTAATCTTACATAGTCATTGGGTTTGGAATCATCAAAATCCAATCACATCGTTGATCATATTCAGAAAAATATGGACAATGTAGTAAACACGGATACTACTGCTTATGAATCCCAGTTAGATTTTGACAAGAAAACAACTTGTTTGACACCACAACGTGGTATCGATTCCCCTATTTCTGAGATAGTGGACGTATCTGATCATAATGAATCGCCAGCCAATCCTGAATGCTCCGGTGATGATTCTAACCAATCTCAAAATGACGGTCAACCCAATATTCTTTTCCTGTAGGTTGTTTTCTCTTGTTTAATTATCGTATAACATGTATAGAAAGTTCCTTACCTTACACAAATTGTTTATCAATATCCTAAGTGTTGTGTATATCGTTAGCGATTTCGGATCTTGTTTGAGCTACTTCGGCCTGGAAGACTGAATAGTATCACTAGCCGTCACACAAGCTATGTGACTAAAAGCCGTACTTGTTAATCAAATGACATTAATCAGCACATCTTATCTATATTCTCGCTGAACTATGAATAAGATTGCAGATAGACATTTAGAATCTTGCAAACTCCTGGCAAGTGTTATCTTATCAGGTACTAACCATCCACTTCGTTCACATCTTTCTACTTGTATATCTTCTGGTAAAATGAGACGCCGATACATTAGAGTCCATTCATGCAATCAAAGGTAATAAAAGTTTTACAATACCTTATCCAGAAAATCTATTATTCATCGAACAGGTTGTAAGGTCTGACCTTTTCAGAAACTTGTATTTTTGAACATGTTGCTGATTAGCAGTTGTATACGTCCTTGTTTTATCAAAAAACATTTCATTTAATTCCAGAAAGTTAATTTACTTATTTCATATGTGCTGCTATCGATTTCACAAATCTTTTTTGTAAAAGACACTTGTTGAAATACTTTGTGCCGGGGATTCCATATTTTACTTAACATACAATATTGAATAAAGCCATTAGTAATAATATTATTGCTTTTTAGTCTTTGTAGAATAATTCGATTTCTTGAAACTGCAAGTACGCGTTTTACGTATCAAGAAGCATGAAACAGTTTTATAACGCTAGGCAACTGGAGGTAGTCGTTAGACAACCCTAAACCTAGGTTTATTGCTAGTTGTCACTTATCGGCAAGAAACGCTTATAACACTCAAAGAACTAATACACTCTTTGTGGGATTCGCCCCCACCTCATCCAGCCCTAAAAATCTGATAAACATTCTGTTGATCAATTTACTCGATGACTAACCAATGTAATTATTATGACGTCTTACAGTAACTGTAGTTATTAGTTTGTCTATAACTTCCTGTTTAAATTTGAACAATATTCGACATATCTATACTCTTAGTATAATTTATGAATGTCAATGGATGTATCTATCTGATATTAATATATTGATTTTGTTTTTCTACACAACATTACTTAATCATTCTACCCGTGTTAGTAGATTAATAATTTTTAACATTCCCTTAGCTCTCTTTTTTGTTTCAAGCCCACTTTTAGTATAGTGACTTATGAACTTCGCCGTCGGGAATTATTACGTGCTAATCAACGTATTGCTTTAAATCCATCATATTTTTTAAACAATTCAACTGAAGGTCTTACCGGTCATATTAACTATCATCAAAGCATGCCATCATCATTATCTGCACAGTTACCATCGTCTGAATGTCGAGCGATTTGTATTCCAGATAATAATCATTCTTTACATTATTTCAATTCAAATCCTAATACCACAATGTCTCTATCAGACTCTGTATTGCGTTACTGTGTTCCTGAAGTAAGCTCTCTCAGGTTATTCAATATTCACGATATATTTGATTTGTTACCTTCGACATATATTACGTTCAATGATAAATGTAACTGACACTTTCTCATTTAATTATAATTAGAGAGATCTTCACCATATCCTAAAATTAACATAAATAATGGTTGTGGATTAATTTTGTTATTGGTGATAATGTTAGTGGGTTTCATTTTTATTGAAAAAAGAACGGCTTATTGTACTTACTATGCCTTTTCAGCTTTAGTTACAGTAATAGGTGCCTTCGTTTATTTCTTATCCTTTAAATGGGTAATGGAGTAAGTGTACACTGTTCAGTCTTTCGGTGATTAACTCTGGTCCAATAAATTTGCTACCATTTTTAATGTATTCCGGGCATGAATACTATCATGCGTTCTGAAAAAATAAAAAAGTTTCCGAATTAATCCACTGAATGTAGTGTTCAGAGGGTGATCTTAAGTACTGACGTATCATAAGATATTCGATTTAGATAATCAGCTCTAAGTTTTTTCAAAGATGGACAGAATTATATTGGTTGATGAACTGGGGGAATTGTTTGTGAAAATCTGCTTAACACTATTTCAAGACAAGGGGATTATCATACTCAGTTCCAGAGGCTTTATTTAAAAATCATCTTGGTATACAATTGCTATAAGTGGGATATAAATTGTTGACCATTGTCTTGCCATAAAAGCCATAAAACATACAATTACGGTACCTAACTGAGAAAACACTGTTTCACTCAAATAATCATTTCAGATACAAATGTTCTCCACTATCTTAATCTTTTTTCTTACTAACATGCCTACTGCCCTAACATTTACTGGATTTTCAATCGTTTTCCTCTCTAGAAATCTAACACCGATGAAACCAACGCAAACGGTCATTCATTATCTTGTCCATGTGGAAATCCTCAAAGCTGTCCATTATCTGAGCAGAAAATTGAACGTTTGGTAAGTTTTTCCCGTATTTTGGTTTTAAGGATTTGTATTTTTCCGTTGTTGATGTTAAGGATTGTGATTGATTGGTCTCTTCTGACATTTGTGCGTGCTGAGTGGATCGTCACGATAATTCCGTTGAGTCCTAGATGTGTACAGTGGCTATTAGTTGATTACAGGGAGGGCGTTTCGTCGTGTTCGGGACTTGTCAGTTGAATGTGCCTTCATCTCAATGCTGATATTCCCATTGGGTTCCAGATACATCCAGCTGAATACAATGAAACGTCCACCCCGAATTCCATTTCTAGCCACCACATAACTTTAGTTTTATAAGTATGTTGCGCTTATTGTGTAGTTGTTTAAAATAATCTTTCGTTTTTGAAATCATATCTTGTTTAGTTCAACAATGCAATGCAATTTCCAGCCGTTATATTGTTACACAGTATATGGGTAACTGAGTTGATTTTCTAAGTTAAAACAATATGAGTTGCGATAAACTGTAATAGCTTTGTTATGACCAAAATATATATACATATCTACTGTATATTGTATATCATTTTTATAGATTTTATGCAAGAAATTAGACTGAACAAATGAGGTAAACATGAAAATTCCGAAGCTAACTTGTGATATTTGTTTAGAACTACAATGGTGTTTTAGAAATGATAGTAAACACTATTAATTTATAAACCTTGAAGTCATGGGTTAACCATGTTTTAGTTCACGTGTCTGTGGGAAAGTTGAAAAATAAATAAATCTTCCACACCAATAAATATTAATAATTTTACAAAACTGAGTATGAACATTTAAAGGGTACATGACCACTATCAAGACTGACTGCTTCAGTTCGAGCGCCCGAGCAGTGTCCCATCCTTCACATAGATCAAATTATCTGTGTGGCGCATATCCATTTGGTGCCTCCTTGTAACAATGTTTATGTATCTAAATAGTAAAATAATAATCAAAACTGAACATTAACAAGTACTGTCTAGTAAATCTTCTATCCAAGAATAAATCAATCAAAATAAAATCTTTGGAATAGAAAATGAGTAACGTAATTATGAGTAGGAAATATTGGATCGAAATATGGAATTAAAAGTAAATGAAATAAGTGATAATGATCTTGTCAAAGCATTACACATCAAACATTGAGATAAATGTAAAACAACTCATACTATTCGACACTAGTAAGTAGTATAGGGTTACAATGGTGTATTGATAACTATTCATTGAGTAACACCGATATTTAATAGTATAATAAATTGTTAACTAGCTTCGGGAAAATGTTTAAATTAAATCAACAGCAACAAAGATGATAAAACTCAGCTACTCTGTAGATCACTGTTTTAATCAACGTAGAGACTTTGACAAATATAGATTATCCAAAGTTTCCTTCATTACATTCTAGTTTTAGAGTATAGTTAAGCTTTTCTGCACTGCTGAAATGAAACTCCTATTAAAACAATTTTTGTGCTTTTTATTAGCCAATGAGTTTGTAAGTGATTTAAAGGAAACATCTACTGATGAAAAGTATCGAGACTTAAATGTATACAATGTTTTTATGTATTCTTAGAATTGATCATAGTTAATAATCATCTTTTTGAGATCAAAATCAAAGTATTTTAAATACATAGACTCGCCTATATGATTTTAAATCAGTTTTTCCCAGAACTCTTCATAATATAGTAAATAGTTTTCGAAATGACTCAAAAGAGCTCCCATTCAGCTTGTATGTTAACTCGTTAATAAGACGACATTTATAGGTCAGTCAGTCAGTAACAACGTAGAACTTCGTACGTACGTACATCAGTTCAAGTTACCATACCATATTAGCACAGAGATGCAGTTGTCGATTCAAATCCCGTAGTGGTAGAGGTAGTAAAAGTATACGCAGTAATCAGAAACATTGGGGTTTGAAGATGTCCTTTACAAGGTTGAAAAAGCTATAGGGAATCTGAAGCCGTATTATTTCTCGACCTTAAGGCAGCATTTGAATCTGTTGATCTTGAGGTTCTATGGTAGTGTTTGTCACTGACAAGAGTACCAAAGAAGTACATTAACCTTATAAAGGCTTTCTACTCATCTGTCTTATTCAAGTTTAATTACTTAGCCATACGCTACAAAAGTACATAATATTCCGCATCCATTACTGATAGTATGATTTATCTAAGATTTAACCTAAAACAAACAAAAAAAACGTAAAAACACTTCACATAAGAAAAACCTAGCACCTCACTTACCTTTACATTTATGTCACTGTGTTTCCACTTCACAATAGTACTTTCTCCCTAATCTAAGGAGTCTGACATACTTTAAAAAAGGCATATTCAAAGTTTCGTATTTAATGGATTATAGTTGGCACTGAATTTGTATACCAAAAAACAAACAAACAGAATAGCCACTATCATTAATTTAATTGACTATTAGGTAGGTCTACTTAAACTATCACTTCATACCTAACAATCAGTGTTGTAAATTCAATAGGTATTTGCGAATGTAAAGTGATCAAGAAATAATATCAAATTTCACAATATATTATCATCCTACTACTCACTTTGTTGTATATTTTTATTCCTAGTGTAAAAATCCTGGTATAATTCATGGTTTCACAGTTCTTTCCGCTGTATTTCGTGGCCGACTCACTAGACAATTATTAGCTACACGTAAAGTTCATGATTTAATACGTACTGTAAAAGTAAGTGTTGAGAAAATAATTTCATACTATGCAGTTTTTCATTTATTATTTGATTTTAACCTGATTAAAAATATGAAATCCAACGAAGCAATCTTCTTTTTCAACGAATGTTTCTTTTATCATGTTGTACAATCGCATTACTTACTTACTTACTTACGCCTGTTACTCCTCGTGGTGGAGCATAGGCCGCCCACCAGGATTCTCCATCGTATTCATATCTATAAAAAAATTTAAATATTGGTTCCGTGAAGATATATATGAACATTGAATAAACGTGATGATGTAATCGAAAGGTTATAATACTAGATTATGTAATGTAAATATCAACAATAAACGTTTGTGTGTGTGTGTGCTCAAATACAAAGCCTTGTACAACTAATAAGTTAACAATGTATGATAATACTGTGAATGGAATATAATAACCGAAATCATTATCTGAAATTTGTTTTTATGTCCATGTATACTACTAGTTAAAGCTGAAAGATATGAGCACTCATCTTCCAATCATTAGATACTTGTTAGTTATTATTATAATTTAATATTTTTACCAATCGAATCTCACTGTAAATGTTCATTCTTCTGATATACATCATTTATGTAATCTTACAGGTGAGTTATTTTATTTCCATGTATTAGGTTAACTATTCTGTACATGTTTACTCATTTTACACGTTATGTAGAATGATTTGATATGTATGTGTAATTAACAAACAGATAAAAATTAAAATCAGATTTATCCTTGTTTTAACCATAATTGTTTTTCTTTCAAATTCAATGTCGGTAAGTGATACAAATCCTACAATTTTAGAAAGACAAGGGTTGCAGAATGATGTTTGTTTATTATGTTTCAGGGCTTCTCATCAGCTGCAAACGAACCAAATTTATACTAGAAACTTTAAATTCATTTTGTATTGTTTGTTTGTATTTTCCCACTGATATTTAGGGCTTCAGTTGATCAATCTCTCATTGGCATATATACATCCTGTGAGGATTGGCTCGATATTGCCTTAAGTCACGAGCATTATAAGCAGAGATGGATGGTGGCTAGCAGTGACATCCTGGACGTGCGTTTCATCCTATTTAGAAATTACGTCAAATTTCAGTTGACGAGTCCCAAATAGGATGAAACATGCATCCTGGATTCCACCGCAGGCCATCATCCATCTCTTCTTATAATGCTTGTGACTTAAGGTAATATCGAGTCAGTCCTCACTGGATGCACATGTGCCAATAAGAGACTGATCAATTTCAGTTCTAAACATCAGTAGGAAGTTACATTAGCAATATTATTCTCAAAAAATATTTTTTCTTCACGTACTATAATCCATGAAGTTTATTTCGAAATGAAATAAGAAACAAGAAAGAGAGACAATATATTTAACATACTCAGTCAGTCAATTAGTAATAACGTAGAGTTTCGTACGTACGTACGTACGTACATCAGTTCAAGTTACCATACCATATTAGCACAGAGATGCAGTTGTCGATTCAAATCCCGTAGTGGTAGAGGTAGTAAAAGTATACGCAGTAATCGGAAACATTAGGGTTTGAAGATGTTATCCAAGGAGTATAATCCAGTGAAATAAGTTTAGAAAAAGAAAAAAAGGGACATTGAGAATTCGGAAGATTATAATTTGGGAAAACACATTTAACATACTAGTTGAGATCGATTAGTATTTCATGTATTGAAGATGAAATCAGGGAAAAAGAGGGTTAAATTGTGATTTTTTATCTAATAGATGACGGATGGAAACAAGGTGTTACCAAATGAGTAATAAACAAAGCACCCATTTGACATAACATTAAAGTCTTGAGTGAATGTCAGTAGGATTTTCCATATTTTAATTTATAAACTAAAATGAAGCGATGCTATAATTGACAAATGTCGAAATAATATAGCTAACCTATCATAAAAGTGGAGGGTTTACTATACTTTCAGGATATAAAGGTCAGGTCACAAGCTTCTGATGATAATGGCCTCTGTAAGGTAGAAGTGATGTTCGTTGCCTGTTTATTATTTTAAACACCTTTGTAGTCTCTAATTTGTCCCTGCTATCCATAAAATGTCAAGTGATCTCACTTATGGATACTTTATTTCCTTCTAAACACAACTTTCGGGGAATATGTTCAGAAAACTTGTAGATGACCTCCTTACAATCTTTCCTGTGTATTTTCTGTTACAAGTACATGTAAATTCATTAAGATGTATTTGAGCGTGATCTCAGAAAAGTATTGATCTACTTTTGATCAATTTAAGGAACATCTCAGATTATACATTGAAAATAGGTGGATCGCAGGAAAACTTCTTTTTAAAGCTGCTTTAATCCTTTTATCAATTCTACCTGATATCTCTTCCCCTTTGAATCCATACTGGTTAGAAACAGGTATTTTATTTGGAGATGTGATAGAATTTGATTATAATTATAATTCCTCACACATGTTCATAACCCTCATTTGATCCTAATTATTAGATGAACACTCTCAAGATCAGTCTAGTGTCACTCAAATGTTGTCCATAAATTATAGTCTCACTTCAATGTTTCATCCAAATAGCTTATCTTCAGGGTATTCTGACTTCTCTATTATATTTGGCGCCCAATTTTTGGTCATATTATTCATTCGAATCTTGATGAATATTTGTATATTTCGAAAAAATGGATTCGACAATAAATAACAAATGAGGTTAACGTACTAAACAAGGGGTAGGGAAGAACAAAATTTATGGGTCAGATAATAGTCCAATTGACAGATATGAAGAAAAACGACAAAACAACAAAGGTGATAATAATAGACTGAATAATAATCAAGAAAACTTGCAAAAGGTAATAATAATAATAAATGATTAAAGTTTAAAGTGCAAAATAGTGATTTTAATACAATATCTGTCAATTGGACTATTATCTGACCCATAAATTTTGTTCTTCCCTACCCCTTGTTTAGTACGTGAACCTCATTTGTTTTTTTTATTGTCGAATCCATTTTTTTTTGAATATTTATTTAATTATTAAATTTATTACTTTTGTATTATAATTATTTATTATAGGATACGGCTAAATTAATTTTATCTATACGATTAGATCACAGAAATATATCGTTCCAATCAGAATTTATATCAACTAATAAAACTACACATCAATTAACTAATAATGAATTATTATTATTAGAATCAAAATTATTAATACAACTTTATAATATACTTAATGAAATTCATGAAATCTTCTTTAAATGGTCTATAACTAAACAAATTTCACTTATATTTAATTCTAATCTATCATCATATAAAATGGATTATTCATTTAAAAAATTAACTAATCAAACATCAACAAATTCATTACGGTATGATATTTAATAAATTTAATATTGAATGTTGTAATTCATTTATTGATTATATGTTAATAGATTAAGATTAATGTTATAGTTTTTATGCTCTAGTACAACTGAAAGTGAGGAAAGTTAGCCCTCCTTCTCGAAATACTCTCATATGCATACAAACACTGTTAGGGAAGTCCTATTTACTGCCTTCTCATGGCGGGGGTGTTGTCTACGAAGTTGAAAAGGATGAAAAGCGAATATATGACGCTTTAACCTGGTTAGTGGATATGGAGGATCTACATAAGGGTGTGTGTGAAAAACTCTGATTCCAAACCAATGGTGTACATGGGCTCCAGTATCTTGAAAGAATAAATGGTCTATGAACCAATCGTTTGTCACCGGCCACCATGGGACTGCATCTCCTGACGTTGCTTCACTGCCTTGTGGATTAGACTTTCAGGTCAAAGGCTCCGGGTGTAGCACCCTAAGGAAACCACTTGCTTCGGTTCGGGCAGCCGGGCAGTATCCCAGTCCTCATACAAATCGAATAATTTATGTGGCGCATATCTATTTGGTGCCTCCTTGTACCAATGTTTATATGTTTAAATAAATAAATTTTATGCATGAGAAATGTTATGTCCTTAATTTATATGATTATCAAGAAACACGGTTGACAATTTAAGTACTCTGACTTATACACGATCAAACTAATGACGTATACACCAGTACGAGTAACTTAGAGTTCCGATTGGTCGTTTTTTTCTCCTAACCACTGCCTGTTAAGTTCAGAACACCAATCTCAGTCTCCGCGATACGAATCATTTATTTTGAGCATACTTCGTTTATTATATACAAGTCAAACAGAAAATAACATTTATACAAGGTCAAGCTAAAAGTGGGTCGTGATTGTGAGGAACTGTTACTAATAAATTGGAAATATCTCAAGGGTAGTAAATCGTATGATAATAGTCTGTAGGCCAAATAAAAGCTTATAATGAGGGGAATATAGGTATGTGTAGTTTAGTTTCTTAACAGTTATATGGTAAGAATATATGTATAATATTAGTTCATAAATAATTACTAGCGTTTACCATTCATTTATTCTCGTCTGGATATAACAAAAGTTATTGGCTTCATACATTGTAGTCATTAACTGTTAGACTGACTTGTGTTGGTAGGTGTAGACCACCACCAGATGGTTAGGGTTCTCTCTTCAATTGTCATAACAAGTGGCGGTGGACATAGGGTGAGATGACTTAAAATTGGTTACAACCGCTAAGATGTATTAACTTATTGGCTCCCTTCAGATTTTGAAATTGGAAATGATGCTCTACTTTTTATTTCGCATATTCATTCTTCCTTCTTGAATCATATTGTTTGTTCTTAATCTTTTCTACTACCAACACAAATGATACTACTACTACTACTACTACTACTACTACTACTACTACTACTACTACTACTACTACTACTACTACTACTACTACTACGCTGTCTGACCAAATTTAGTTCGTAATGCGAAACTGAATTCAACAGTAGTTCACAAAACTTTACAAAATAAATTATAAGTAACTGTCCAAAGTGTTGGATTACTACCTTTCTTGTTTCTTCCTGTTCTTTAGTATCCTTCGACAGTTACAACCTCATCAAGTGAATTCCTTACCTAAAAGTAAACAGATCAATAACAACGCAAATGGCGAAGAAAAGTGAGTCAATCAATAATAGTGTTGATCCTTCCTTCGTATGTTCCAATTTTTGTATTTGGTCAATAAATGGTCCTTTTTAAGTGATTGAAGATCTGTAAAAGGCTCCAACAACACTGACGTCATTAATATTTTGAGAAAATGGGATTCAATTAATTTTTTTGTAAATTTACTTTAGCATCTATTTGTTTGTTCTAAATATAATGACATATGAGAAACATTCCTAACTTAGTAACTGAATATTATCGTAACTGTTACAAGACCCGAAACGTTTTAGTTATTATTCCGTATGCTATCGTATGCAAGAATGGACAAGGAATTGCTAGTCAAATTAAAACTAGTTGTTCAATGTCCTCATTTCTTAAATAATTCTTCACCTCCTCTCAGTTTATAATGTCAAAACTCAAATCATGGTGATGATTTAAGAAATTTTATAATACTTATAACGAAAAGAATTCTCTGAAGTCTACCCCACCTAAATGAAATAAGTCGATTAAGCCTTGAAAATATATATGTACATGTAAATTTTTTATTGTACCTGTTATATTATCAAGTATAGGGATTTATGGAGATTGTCCTATTTTCACATTTTAATTCAAGAGTCTATCTAAGCTAGACACCACTATTGAAAACCTGGAAGCACTGGACAGCTGTTTCGTCCTAGTATAGAATCGATAGGATTCGATCTGCACTAAGAAGCATCTGACATACATGACATTGATCACCACCTAGTGACCAATCAATCGTAAATACATCTCAGTCCTACAGGAGGTCAGTCGTGGCTCAAATAGCCCAGTGGTAACGTCTCTGACTTTGAAGCTGGCTGACACGGTATCGAATCCGTTAGGGAGCATCAGTTCCCTCAAGATTACATGTACACCTTGCTGACGACCCTCAAGTACCACGAAACCTAAGTCCAGGATTTCCTGTTCACTACCTCCGATCACCATCTTATCTCAACATAGTGCACGTAATCTCAAGTCATCTAGACTGGTGGCTACATTACAACTTGGTCAATAGGGTTCGATGTGCACTGAGAAGGATCTGACATATGTGACATTGATCACCACCTAATGACCAAGCAATCGTAAATAACTCCATGTAGTTAATTCCCTTTATGAATTTAAATAAAGTCAGAACAAATAATGATGCAGAATAGTAAGAATTCATTATATTTCGTGGTTTATCGTCACTTGCTTACAACCAAATATGTATTGGAATTTTACATTGAGATAAGAAATAGTATGGAACAATTGACATAAATGAATGTAAAGGATTGGAATGAAAAAGGTTATCAATCATAACTATATATATGTATGCAAGAACATGTCAGAGGTTATTAGGTGTTAGAATCAAGGATATATTAAGGATGGAGGTTTAAGAACTCGTTAATGGGAGAGGAACAAAACTAATAACAAAAAACAACAAACACACAAAAAAAGGATTATCAGGGTAGTAGTAGCCAGCTTCTGTGCAGTGAGTTACAAAAAAAGTATTGTACGAACCGTTTTTGACCGCGCACGTAAAATTTGCTCAAAAGAATACATGGAAGAAGAAATTGCTCTCATCACTAAGTGCCTACGTGGAAATTCATATCCAACGAAATTCATCTATAAATATGCAAATACCAACCCTCGGGTAAAGTATGATAGAGTGGAAAAGAAAACTTGCTTCTTGTATTTACGCTTCAAAGGAGATGAAATCACTGGATTAATTAATCACAGAATAAATTCCGCGCTGGAAGTGACCTATTCAGCAGCAAAACTGACGACGGTATGGGAAACGAACTGCTCAGTCAAACAAGTTAAAATCGACAAATCCTCTTAGTAGCTCCAACTGCATTTACCAACTCACATGTACGTGCCAAAGCACATACATTGGAAGAACTGAGATAAGAGTACATGTTCGCATTTTTGAGCATGTTCCAAAGAACTTGAGGCTGTGAGGGACTAAGGCACTCAACAGTGCAATAGCTCGCCATTTACTTGACACCGGGCATATCTCTCATGCTTTTAAAATTAATATCAGACAAAGAAGTACGGCTGCTCTCCATTTTGCTGAAGTGATCGCGATAAAAAAAACTTAAAGCGGATCTATGTATTCAAAAAGAGACAGCAATAAACTTATTACTACCCAGGTAATTCATTGTTTTTGTGTGTGTTTGTTGTTTTGTTCCTCTCCAATTAACCAATTCTTAAACCACCCTTTCACTCATACATTTCCGGTCACTTGATCCTCTTAAATTATGTGAACTCTTCAAATTCTATTCAATTATTACGTAACCCATCTTATCAATTTTTAGTTCCATGATTCCTTTATTATCTCCAAAATTATCACACAGTTTATCTTATCTGTCTCTGAACTCCACTATTACACCACCCGTCCTTAATGTGTCCTTGATTCTAACACCTAATAACCTCTGATCTATTCTTGCACACATATATTGTTAAGTTTGTCTTACATTGTTCCTACTCGTTCCCTTTCTACTCTTTTGTATATTGTCTTATACTACTTATTTACATTAAGTAAGCAGTTGTATTCCCAACAATTTTCAAACTTATGTTGTAACGCAAGTTGTACTGTAATAATCTGAAATGTTCACATATACTTATAACGTTTTTTGTACTTATCATTGTATTTATCATTATAATCACTGTGCCTTAATCGCTGTAGCCGTTATCCACAGTTTTGTGCATTTGTTAAGCGCAACGGTTTCCATATTGTTTTGCTCTTGGTTCGAGTTTCGGTTTCTCATAAACTGTTATCAAATTTAGACACAGCTATCAGCTGTCTTTGTACTATCGAAGCCTTTGTTATTTTCATTCTTGAAGGACGCGTTTAAACGCCTAGACACCTCACAAGTTGAGGTTTTTAGCTAAATTTAGTGTATTATTTAATAAAGAACCGGTGTTGTAGACGAATCGTAGTTTTGGAAACTTCGGTTTTGCGCGTATCTCAATCAGGTGACTTGGCCGCTTCGATAGACTTAACACATATATATAGTTATGATTGATAACCTTTTTCATTCCAATCCTTTACATTCATTTATGTCAATTGTTCCATACTATTTCTTATCTCAATGTAAAATTCTAATACATATTTGGTTGTAAGCAAGTGACGATAAACCACGAAATATGATGAATTCTTATTATTCTGCATCATTATTTGTTCCGGCTTTATTTAAATTGTAAATTACTAGTATAGAACTTCTCAGAAGTACGCATCCATCTGTTTTATATTAAGATTACATTAAAAAGAAGGTTATATATTTTTTCTTCAAAAAAATATCCTGACCTTAGTAACTAAAATAAATCTCTTACTTATTATAATCTATTTTTTTTTATTTTTTAGAAAATCAAATATTTCTATTATTTCTAATAAACGAAATCCTTATCATTCTATTAATAATAATAATAATAAATTAATCAATAAATTCTCCCCTAAACAACAATTAACACATAATTTAAATAAAAATCAATTAAAAAATAATCAAAAAGAATGTTATAAACAACAATCAATATTGAATACATTTATACAATCTAATATAAACAATTCAATTTATTGTAAATTAATAAATAAAAATAATCAATATATTACAAGATCAATTTCAGCTAATAATACATTCAATAATAAAGTTAATAGGTCATCATCAATAAGAAAGAATTATATTAATCGAACAAAATCAATCAAACCAAAAATTATTCGCCATTTCAGTAATAAAATTGATCTAATCCAATATAATAATAATAATACATCAACAATTGACTCATTGAATAGTAATAATAAGAATGATCCGCTGAATATTACAGTTAACAGTGAACTGGAAATAGATTCAAAAATGATCAATATACTTCAAGTAAGAATAAGAAAAATAATCGTTTGTTATTTATTTTTATATTAAATATTTATTTTTCAATTCGAAAATTAATTTCAATGATCAATTAATATTGGATAAAAGAAAGAGTATTAGAAAAATTGAGAAGTACTAAACGAGATGTCTTGTAATTGTGTAGAATTCTAAAACAGTGATATATATATATATATCCATTTTTGAGTCCAGGTATAGGGTATTGGGTCAGTCAGCTACAACGTAGGACCAGGCACATATGTGCATGGGTTCAAGTTGCCATACCTCATTAGCACAACAAGATGAACATAGGATTCAAATAAGTAGTTAATTCAGTGTTGGTAATATATAAAAGAAAGATTGTGTATAAGGACATAGTACAGGAAGAGAGAATTAGTTCGTAGAAAGAAAGATATGAAGCGATTTTAATCTCATAGTTTAAGGGAAGACAGAGTGTATACACCTACGCCATTGTGATCGATTCTGAGCCATGTCACCAAGAGTCCTTAACCATTGGTTACGATAGTCGCGCGGGCCCCAACCAAGCAGTCTGCATCTACCAACATGGCTAAGATTAGAACTTAGTGACTTCAAGGACTGATGCCACGTTTTGGTTTGGCCGCCCCTAACTTTCTTCCAACCATCTCCAACACCGGTTAGCATTGCACGTCGTGGTATTCGGTGTTCGGGCATACGTACAACGTGGCTCAACCATCTCAGTCGATGAAGATTCACAACCTCGTCAACTGATTTACCATCATTCCCTAATACTCGATTGTCCCCACTCGTGTTCCGTTCACTACAATATCAACAGATATATGTAGTATGTTCCTGCTTCGGTTCGGGCAGTATCACGGCCCTCACATATGTCGAATGAGATTTGTGTGGCGCATATGTATTTGGTGCCTCCTTGTACCAATATCTGTGTGTTAAAATAATAATAACCCTGCGTCTAACCTCACTATTACTTACTCGGTGATCCCAGCAGATGCAAGTAGTATTTCCAAGATATCTGTGGTCAAACATTAGTAGCTTACGAATATAGATTTTAGTCAACTGAGGTAGTTGAAATATATGTTACGTATGTCTAGCCACCGCCCATATTGACAGGTGATATTGTTTAATGTAGAAGTTAACTGAAAGAAAGCTAGGGACAGACAAAATAAGACTTGACATCAGTCTATAAAGTTGATGGTAATTGAACTGAGATATTTAAATAGGTGTAGACTACTTGGTTACCGTCTACGTGATGATTGTAATCAATATTTGAGGATTTGGGTAATATAACTTAGAATCGTTTCCAATTATACAGGTGCATTCACTTTTTGTTTTCCTTTAAAATTTGGGTGCCGAAATCTCCTAATACCCTTCTTCTAAACCTAATCTTTCCTACTACTACTAATACTGTTATTACTTCTACTACTTTGGGATCTATCTTGATAACTTTACATATGTTTCAGGTTCTATTTTGTGTACGTCTAACTGACCGACTGGCTAATATCATATACGTTATTAAGTGTAGTTGGAATCTCAACTTTACTATTCAAGTATAGATTGATATAATTTGGTTTGTTCACACATTAATTGTGTAAGAATAAGTAATACTAATTGTCTAAACTGAAGTATATGAAATGAAGTCCGAGTTCAGAACTTAACGTCTGAAACTCGGCTTTTGTAATTACCAAATCTTGAATTCAATAATATATGAAAAGTGTACTAGATATGCTCATTCATCGTCTGCTATAATACATGGTACTGTCTGAAACAGTGCTAAGTTAAAATACTTATTCAATCAAATTACTAATGATTAGTTTATACCATATCTTTTCAATAACCTTATTTATTTCAGTTCCCGTTGTATTGTTTTAAAATGAGTTAATTTTCCTTAACTAATTACTAGTATACTACTAGTTTCCATGTTTTTATCAGTAGTATACAATTTTCTATATTCAGCTATAAACTGTAATTATGATATAATTGTTGGTAAATGATATGTTGTACCTCATTTGTATTGCTTGTTTGAATCGTTCCATTAATGTTTAGGACTAATCGATCAGGCTTTTATTGGCATATGTGCATAATGTGCGAATTGCCTTCAGTCATAAGCATTATAAGCAGAGATAGATGGTGGCTAAGAGTGGAATCTAGGACGAGTCTCAAATTAAACAAAACGTGCGTCCTGGATTACACTGCTAGTCACCATCCATCTCTGTTCATAATATATTATACCGTTTAATTTATCATTTTAAGTTGTATCACTAGTTTAATCACATGAGGTTTAATTAATTATGCTTTTTATCCTGCCTATTTGTATAGTTTAAGCCTGTACAAATAATGTACATGTGATGGTCAAATTTGACTTATTTCGTTTAAAGTTTAATTTTTAACGATGATGATCAATCCCATTGTAAAAGGGAGTAGATCAGGTGTAATTGTTTGATTGATTAGCATCAATTTCATAAACACATCGACATATTGGGAAATACATAACGCATAAAATCTTGTTTTTTTTCTTTAAGTAGCTTAACTTAGAAAAGCAAATCCAATTTAAAAAATGTTTATCAGTTTATGGTTGTGGAGACCCAATGAAATCATGAACCGATCTATGTCACAGCACTATTGAAAACCTAGAAGCACTGGAAAGCCGTTTCGTCCAAGTCTGAGACTCAGTAGTGCGCATCTGCGACCCCTGATGAGACGCATAATTCAATAGTCATATGTGTCATTGCAGCCTATTGTCATCAATATTCATATTTCAGTCATTCTTGTATACGAAATAAACATTTGATGAAGAAATTCAGTCAGTCATAATCATCACAGAGAATAGAACAAAAGTGAGTTGACTCAAGTTGCCATACCATATCGGGACAAGACGAAGAGCAAAGGCAGCAAGATACTGTGGTAGCAATGATTATGAGGTAGACCAAATATTGAAGTGTGGTTGAAAAAGATAATCCAAAAATACATATGAATGGATACTGAAACTGACGATCTAGAAGATAAAGAGTGGATACAACTGCATGATTGTGAACGATCTTAAAACATTTCACATAACGTCTCCAACCATTGGTCGCGGTAATCACCTTGACTCTAACCAGGTAGTCTGGATTTATCAACATGACTCAGACCAATAGTCACCGACTTCACTAACTGATGTCACGTTGTTTTTTGATTGCCCTCAGTTTTCTCCCAACCTACATCTGTAGCAACTAGCATTCCCCATTGAGATAGTTGATGCCCCAGCCACCTCAGTCAGTGAAGAGACATAACCTCATAAATCGATTAATCATCTTTCCCTAGACCTATAAATCTAACGTTAGTCACTCACTTTGGTCCCATGTTTGATGGTTAAGATCAATCAGGAATAAGTTCTGAACTTTAGTGTTAGTGGATACTTGTCAGCAAGTCCTATCTACAATCGTAGGGGAATCGATGGTACTCTTCAGACTTGAATCCGCGGCACCAAGTGTCATTAAGATGTTACTCCTACGCTATTCAGGCTATTGTTCCAATAAAGATAGGCATTAACATCGTTGGGTGGCTGTTTAATGATCTAGAAGTTGGGCGTTCACGCGGGTGACCAAAGGTCCTAGGTTCGATTTCTGCGTGCAGGTTCATGCACTACACCGATGAGGAGTCACATACTGGTACGAAATGGCCTCCCAGTGCTTACAGGCTTCCAATGGTGGTCCAGATTAAATCGGTTCAAGGTTTCAATTTAACGGTACTGATATGTAGTTGATGTCTTAGTAGAACCACTGATACTTTATCCTGGATAACTGTAATCAAAATACACTGGACATGCTGGCCATTATTTGGAGTAATGAGGAGAATGGTAGTCTCGTTTCCTTATGATTGCTTACTTACTATTCTTTAGCGAAGAATTATTCATCAAAATTTCTTTTAGAATTTTATTTAAATACCATTAGTCAAATATTTAACATCATGCTGATTTTCAACCTCTAAGCACTTACAAATTAATGTAGTGAATATTAGTCAAACATCTAAATTGTACACTCAACTGTATAACTACACCTTACAAATACATGTGCTACCATAAAATTGTTTATTCTGACTGTATGAAAAAGTATTTGATAATGTGAGTTTCATGCAGACAAATTTAATCTTTTGAGCATTCTATGAACTCCGATAAAATGAGTACGATTTATTTGAATTCATAAGGAGCTGATTAAAGTTTTCTTATTTTTATTTAAACACATGAACATTGGTACAAGGAGGCACCAAATAGATATGCGCCACACAAATCATTCGATTTGTGTGAGGGCTGGGATACTGTCCGAGTGCCCAGACCGAAGCAGGTGGTTTTCTTAGGGGGCCATACTCGGAGCCTTTGACCTAAAAGTCTGATCCACAAGGCAGTGGAGGTGCAGTCTCATGGTAGCCGGTGACCAACAATAGATTCATACGTCATTTATTTCCTTAGGATCCTGGAGCCCATGTGCACCATTGGTTTGGAATGAGGGTTTTTTTCAACTTTCCTAGGGGACCCTCCATATCCACCAATCGAGTTAAAGTGGCGTACATTCGCTTTTCATCCTTTCAATTTCGTAAAAAACACCCCCGCCACGGAAAGGTCGTGAGTAGGACTCCCTGACAGTGGCTGTATGCACGTGGCCACTAGAGAGCATTTCGAGAGGGGGAGCTGACTTTCCCCACTTCCGACCGTACCAGGGCATTTGCGGGCAAAGTCTTCTGGAGAAGATGGAAACGTATTCTCAATATATATAATTGTTTTTTATTTATACACAAATATTTAGATATTTAACTGAAAAATATCCCTTTACCTTGATGATATTTATATGCAGCATTAAAAAGTACCAACATCAGTACTGATATAAATAGTTTCGCAAACATTAAAACAATTCATACTGAAAAATGCCATGAAACTGTTATTGAAGAGAAAAGACTGTCAACTTCATCAAAACAAGTCAATAGTTCAACGTTATCACAATGTGAAACTAATTCACATGCTCCATTAATTATTAATGATAATAATAACACATCAGTTCAAAGATGTTTTCCTGTGAAACGTCGTATTCTATCTAGAAAACTTCAAAATGATTATTCAAATACTCCTATTCATGTCAGTACTCAAAATAATTCATCTAACTCTACATGTAATAATTATAATAATGATGTATCATTCCTGATACAAGATAATCAATAATACTTTACATTCTAATGATAATGAAATCAAATATAATTACGAAATTTCAAATAATTTATACCAAAAAAATTCTGAACTACGTTATATATATATAATTCATATCAGTTCCATTTCTCTCACAAACTTTAATTTCTATTCTAATACCGGTCTACTTTTTTGAACGTTTGGTTATTCATACATACATACAAATAATTACTGATGGATAACAAATGTTCGATTTGACTTTTAATTAAGTTTACATGATTTATACTTTAAACAATTTTTTAAAATACATTTTTCGCATAAATCTTTTCTTTGAATTATAATGATAACGTAACTCATTTATCAATAATTATAGGTTTGTAATACTACTTGATTGTCCAGATAAAATAAGGGGTTGAGACCTATGGTTGAATACTTTAATCACTAAGCTACTACTGCATTTGACTTAATGAGATGAGCTCACACTTTATAATGGGTAACATACAAAAACTTGTTGAGAAGTGCATTTAGTTGACGTAATGGAGTTTATAATAGCATATTTGACCTCAGTAAAACATGTAGATCCTGATTAATTTTTGTATATTGTACTTTAGATTAGTCTTATTTAGATGATGCAATATTAAAAAGTCTGATACAAAATACATTGAGAATACGTAAAATTCGTACATGGGTATTATCAGATAGACCAAAAGTGAAGCATTGAATTAGTATATTAGTCAACTCTGAGTACAAGTTGATAATTGTGCTTATATATTCAAGTAGACAATCGATAATTAAGTTAAAAGACACGTAAATATCGACATGTGTGTATATAAATGCGTACGTTGGTAAAAGGTTATAATTAACTATACAAGTGAATATAAAATAACTAGTGATGTGATTAAGCATCTGATTGCCACATTCATATTTATTTTTTCACACTGTTCAAATAAATAAGTGAGTAACACGAGTCATTACATGTTAAAGCTGGATACAATTTCTCAACCAGTTTCTATACAACTAAAATGCTATCCATCTATACTTATGGTCGGTTTCGTCAAGTTCAAAACTGAACAAGTTGAATTTAGAGTTCCATTACTCAACTAAAAAATGATACTGGATGGTGGGATTCATTTATTTCAAGCTTGTAATTAACACGTTGGACTAGGACGTCAATTCAAAGAACACATCTCGTTTGAATACATAATAAAATATTTGATTAATTACACCCTAATTGATATTATTTGTTTTAACCTTGGCAACTCTGATCCTTAAATTATTCAACGTTCCCAAAGGGATTTTGTTCATTAGTGCTTTAATAACTATCAGCTTTGTTCTACTACATTTTTATCGAAATTGGAATGGACAGTTGTTTTTTCTTACAAAGATCGCTTAACCATACTGAAACTATTTAGCAGAAATCCCTATAGTTCACCAGCTAACTTACTACTATATATGAGAAAAGAGCATATTGGTAATTTATTAAAAAATAAATCAATTAAAATAAACTAAATAACAAATTGTGTACATATAGTCAGTTGGGAATAGCTGACAAAAAAATCAAACGTAGACAGAAATAAAGGTTTCTTCGAACAAAATACCCAAGCAAGACCGGTGCATCATCTACTACATTCATATCTTAATTGTAAAAGGTGAAATCACAGAAAAGCAAGAAGCAATATTTTATTTTGGTCGGATTCCTAGAAGTTTGTTCATTTGACGATTTTGATTTGACATAGTATCAGTGACTCGATGAATTTGCGGCGCCATTCGATCAAGTTGGTCATTTTGACTTCTTAATTCATTATGCATACCTTGAGCTAAACTTTTTAATCGAGACATGCCATCGCCCATTAGAGCTAAATTGTTCTCAAACTCAACATCTGCAGATTGCGAGGTGTTGTTGGGTTCCTATTTACAGGAAAAAAAATATGATATTAACGGAAATGAAGTGAATTCATCGGTGATAGAATAGTTTGCATTAGCCAAGATATTATCAGTCAGAGATTCTAGGTTCGACCACAGATGGTCCAGAAATTGTTCCCCATGAATAAAGAAGTCTATCATCTAGGGGTCGTAATTTGCCCCCCCCAGTTACCTATCTACTATCATATAAATGCCCTAAGAAGCACTTTATTACAGACAGATAATGAGGATTAAGACCGCTGCAAAACTCATATAGCACTCACCAAATGGCACTTCCTTCTGTACAAGCAATCGAGTTTGACGATTTATGATTTTCAATCTTTTGCACGATTAAGATGAATACGTCGTTACCTTCCCATATAAAATAGAATACTTAATGAAGCGAATTTATTCATATAGTGGAAAATAACGTCTACTTTTTGACCCAAAGCTCCTTTGCATAGTCACGCGCTAAGTGGCGTTTGTCAAGGTGATTGCTCTGATTAACGTCACGTAGCTTGAGAGTACTTACTATTAAATTTGATAGGTGCATACCAGATGTGACAATTTTTTAGCATATGATGACTTAATGCACCTATCTTTTATTCCAAACACGACTGTAATAACAGGATCCTAGGAGGAATGCAATTCGGATGTTAAAGCTGAGGAATTTACACTGTACTCAGATCTATAGTGGTGAGTAGAGCTATTATTATTAGATAATGGCTCGGGATGGTAGTTAACAAGTGATAGTGGTGAACAAGTTAACACAAGTTGTTCACTTTCAAATAATATATAGTAATAATTGTCTCCAATGAGATATGCTAAGGACTTACAATCATTTTTTGTTGCAATGTACTTGTGTACTGATTGCCCCATGAATTTTCACACTGAATTGATTGTCTCAGATTACTTTGATTTCTATTATTCAACGTCTTGTCCACCACCGAGGAGCTTTGAGGAACAGGTTGTGATTGTCTACCGGAAAAATACCCATGAAAATTAACATAAATTAGTAGTAATTTACAGTAAGTTGATCAGAAAGTCAAAACATTTGTGTAATTTCTAGATTAGAACTGATGAGTGCTCAGACTGTATTATCAAGTACCAACAATCTTTAGAATCATTATTAATGAAACTTAACTATGCAGAAAATTTGATTTGATGGCGAGTAGATTTGACTTCATAGCTTAAACATGTAAAAGAGAAACCATCCGGAGTTATTTATTTTTCAAATTATGATAAGAATGGAGTTCATATGCACAATTATTAATTATCCTATGGTTTCCAAATACCAAATGAGATTCTATGTATCAAATAGTCAATAAACTTGTGATTTGATATTATATTTCAGTTTGAAACTATAAGATCTCATCAACAATGCTCCCACTGTAACCACTATTGTATGTCAATGAATAAAAAAATGAGATATATAAGTGGAAAACCCCTTGATAATCTCTACACTACTAATGGATGACTTTAGCACCTCATCAATTTACGTTTCAGTGTACTTAGATATTTAGTGCTAACTGATTAGATGAAATTATATACATATGCATACAGGTTTATCCGATTGATCTTCGAATACTAAACAGAATCGAAGAAACTGTAGCACATATATGTCTTGTTCAAAAGAAATAAACTATGAGTAGGTATGATTTCGACCAAGGTTCAAGAGTTTCTGATCACTCAGCTCTCTTCAAATGTGAAACATGAACATTTTATGATGAACTTGTAATCGACTACGTAATGTTTGTCTCAAACTAGTTGTTCCATTTTTTGTAAAATTAAGAATATTAATAAGTTATCACATTATCCTATGTTATCAACCGATCACCGATTTCGCAAAAATCTAACTGACAAATTTGACGTGAGTAAACGACGTAATTTATAAAAAAAGATTAGAAAACATAATACCCAAGTAAATTGAGTTGTACTTGAACTTTCATGTATACATATACAAAAATACATGCACTAATTATTATGAGAGAGAAGTAAAAATGTACCGTCTGTACCAAAAAGTGTGATTAAACTACACACAAAAAATGTTATATGTTGAGAGATTAAAGTACAGAAAGTTACCACCGGAATTCAAATCTGTGATTCACTTTCGAATTTCAACCACTGAATTAATACAATTCTTAATCTATTTCATCAGTTTTTGGAATTTTGTAAACAAAACTTATTTAATGGTAGAATTCACTAGTTAAGCTAGACCGCCACTGGAAGCACTGGACGGTCGTTTCGTCCTAGTATGGGACTCCTCAGTAGTGTGCACCCACGTTCCTGTATACGGAATTCGAACCCAGGGCCTTCGGCCTCACGCGCGGACGCTTGACCTCTAGACCACTGAGCTTGCGTCCAACTACTAAATTACTACAATCTCCGCAAACCCTCATTCTGACAAAACTTATTTAATTAACCTTACTATACGATAAACATGGCTTACCATCAGTAAATAAACTCTTAATTTGCTAATGATTATGAATACTGTTCGTAATAGAAAATACACCAGCTAATAATAACAATAATAATTCGAAATCATATCTAAGCTTGTTGTATGGATATTAAATGTTAAAGTATAGTTAACAGAATAATTTAAAGTAATGGACGTGATTTCAGACTACTCATTTTCAGGATATCTAGTAAGGATCCTCATTTAACAGAAACTTTTTTTTCACTTTCAAAGACATCAATTCTCTTATTGGAAGTCAAAATAATAGAAAAGAAACATAGAAAGCAGATCATATGAATAAATTACTTTGTATCTAATATTTTAAAAGAAACTTATACTTTATTATGGCTTACATTTGTATTTTACTTACCTTCGAGAAAAAATGTTTTTAAATCCACCGAAAACACTAGATAAAGTATTAATTTTCTTTTGACTATCTTTTTGCAATTCACTAATTTCTTCAAGCTTCTGCTCAGCACGATTTAATTTTTCTCCTTGTTCAATAAGTTCTTGGGCTGCTGCAACACCAATTTGTTCTGAATTATATATACTGGACAATGCACGTTGTTGGCTAGCTTTTGTTCTTGACTGACTATCTGAAATTTGACACTGAATAGCAGGAAGAAAGTCAGTTCATTCAATTTGTGTCGATATGATGAGAATAATCGGAATCAAATGAGTTAAAACTACGAATGTTAGATTAGTTCCGTCGATCTACGGTGGTTAAAAGTATTTTAAGAGTGATATATATTGTAGTAAACACATAGTTTAACTTTACGAATGAAAACAATTTTATTTACTAAGACAGTGAACAATTCCTCATATCAAAGGCGAAGTGTAATCAGAAACAAGCCCTAATTATGCATGAAATAGTGAATGCGGATTCAAATTTTTATTATGTATATAAGACATTAAAGTTCTTTTGGAAATTGTGTGCAGTTATACGGAACGACATTAGTCGCGAACATTCTCAACAAATATGGCTCAGTAATGAAGCACAAATTTGAATACTTAGATTTGAGTAATACCTGTGTACCTGTTAATGATACTAACCGGCTGGGATACGACAAAAGCATAAGAGGTTTTCATCAGTGAGTGATCAGATGTAGCGAGAATACCATTTTAAAAATCATACGTTCTGCCAAGACAATGAAATAATGAAGAATCATGCGAAATCGGTGTAGAACCCATCCTTCATAGTGATTACAGCAAAAGCTTGTCGATGTCAGGGAGACATGTCTCAGTAAGTACAGGGGAGTTTAAACCCACTGATGTTTAGTTCGAGTAGTTAAAGTGTGGTTAATGAAACAAAAGATGCTAATTCTACTAACGCAAATAGATCCATAAACTGACATCCTAATGTGCCATCTTGAGCCATATCACAAAACACCTGCAACCTGTGGTCCCAGTACTTGTGTAGACCTTAACAAGGTAGCCTAAACTCATCAATAAGATTCACTTCAGCAGTTGTCCCCAAATGCCCTGGTACGGCCGAGAGTGGGGAGAGTCCGCTCTCCCTCTCGAAATACTCTCACATGGCCACGCTTATAAAGCCTCTGCTAGGGAAGTCCTACTCACTGCCTTCTCGTGGCGGGGGTGTTGTTTACGAAAATGAGAGGACGAAAAGCGAATGTCCGGCGCTTTACCCGGATCCCAAACCAATGGTGCACATGGGCTCCAGTATCCTGCGGGGACAAATGGCGTATGAAGCAATCGTTGGTCACCGGCTACCATGGGACTGCATCTCCTTACGATGCTCCACTGCCTTATGGGTTAGACCTTAAGGTCAAAGGCTCGGGGTGTGGCCCCCTAAAATAACCACCTGCTTCGGTCTGGGCACCCGGGCAGTATCGCAGCTCACACGCAAATGATGAACTCTCTACACCTATGGAAATTACTTTTCTCGCTTCGAATAACAATCAAATGATACAAATTATTATTATTATTATTTTCCACATTATTCACCCTCTTTTATACTTATACAGCGGCTCGTCTTTGGTGGAAATTCGACTGTATCTAAACGTTCTCGAGTCACTGTCCGATTGAAAATTGTATGTTACCACCGAATATGAGTACTGAAGCAGTTTCTCTGAAACCACGTGCACCATTCAAACTGGCTGCCTTCAACGTTCGCACACTTATGCAGGTCGGACAACAGATAGGGCTGGATATGTCTTTGGAAAGTCTTAATATCGATGTCTGCTGTCTATCTGAGACCCATATTCAAGACTATGGTGAAGTACTAAAAATTCGCTCTTCATCTGTCGCTTCGAAAAGCTTGTTTTGCGTGCGTTTATCCGGAAACCCTGTGGCATCTTCGTCTGGCCTTGCTGGCATCGGTGTCACACTAATCGCTAGAGCTGAGGCAACACTAACCGATTGGATCCCAATTAACAGTCGGTTTTGTGCTGTTAGATTAGAAAGTTCGATCGAAGTGAGAAGAAATTGGCGTGAGAAACTACGTCTTTTCGTCATCTCCGCCTATGCCCCGACAGATTGCAGCTCGGATGCAATCAAGGATGAGTTTTACCACCAGTTAACTGTTCTTCTCCAGAAAGTGCGTTCGACAGATATTGTAGTACTAGCCGGAGACTTGAATGCTCAGGTCGGGCATCTAGGCACAGAAGAGGATCCTTTAGGTGGGCGATGGGGACTTGTTGGTCGCAGGACAGATAACGTGGACCGTCTACTGCAACTATGCACAGACCACAACCTGTTTCTGGCTAGCACTAACTTTCGGCACAGTCATCGCCGATGTGCCACCTGGCGTCCTCCCTCTGCATCTCAAGCCTGGACTCAGATTGATCGCATCGTGATCAGCTACCGCTGGCGTGGTTGTGTACAAGACTGCCGCTCCTTTTGTAGTACCTATCCAGACTCGGACCATGCCCTGGTCTGCGCCAATCTTATCTTACTTTTCAGTGGCCAACGAAGTGACCGCCAGCAAAGGATTGATATTAGCAAGCTGGTTGCAACTTCTGTTGCTAGCAAGTATCGAACCGAGCTAGCTGCTAGGCTAGCTACCATTCCACCGAAAAGTATAGATGAGCATTGGTTGCAATTGCATGACGCCATGAAAATGGCGGGAACAGTCAGCTGCTAGGCTAGCTACCATTCCACCGAAAAGTATAGATGAGCATTGGTTGCAATTGCACGACGCCATGAAAATGGCGGGTACAGTCAGTTGTGGGTTTGCGAAACGTCCCGCTTATAAGCACTGGGTTTCTTCTGGTTCCTTAAAACTCATTGAAGCCCGTCGGTCTACTCCGGGTGACCGTGAGTTTGACCACAAACGAAGGATGTTACGTAAGTAAATTGGGCAAAGCTTGCGTAAGGACCGAGAAGCCTGGTGGTCGAAGCGTGCTAATGAGCTGGAAGCAGCAGCTGCATCTGGTAACAACCGGAAGCTCTTCCAACTCATCCGAGCCACTGGCAGCAAGAAGTCTGGTGTGAGTGAAACAATCTGCGAGGATGATGGGATGCCAATCACTAACATCCATCGACGTCTTGGACGATGGGCAGAATTTTTCGAAGGGCAGTTCAACTGGCCTGCTGCTCCGGCAACATCGGTCAGACTGTCCTGCCCTCCATGGCCGGTGACGACTGATCCACCAAATGAGGAGGAAGTCCGCAAAAAACTCCAACTCTTGAAGCGTTACAAATCACCTGGCCCAGATGACTTACCTCCGGCTCTTTTTAAAGATGGTGGTGACTTTCTGACTAAGGAATTGACGACGTTGTTTACAAAGGTTTGGGAACTAGAGAGTGTACCAACGTCATGGAATGAGTCGATAGTTGTCCCTATCTTTAAAAAGGGTTCACGTCGTTCCTGTAACAACTATCGGGGGATAAGTCTACTTCCGATTGCGTCCAAGCTATTGGCTTCCGTCATACTTCGTAGGTTGTTCAAAACCCGAGAAAGATTGACTCGCGAGGAGCAGGCTGGGTTTCGTTCTGGTCGAGGATGTATTGATCATATCTTCACCCTCCGCCAAATGTTAGAACACCGCCATACTTATCAAAGGCCAACAATCGTAGTGTTTCTTGACATCAGGGCTGCCTTCGATTCGTTGGACAGGACTGTTCTCTGGGATTGTCTATTGAAGAAGGGTGTGCCTGAGAAGTTTATTAACATCCTAAAAGCCCTATATAAAAACACCTCAGGCAGAGTGAGGGCATACAACCACCTCTCTCCATTGTTCCATTCGAGCAGTGGGGTTAGGCATCGATGACATTCTGGAAACAGCTCTGATGGACGTAAGTAATGGTGGTGTGGATCTGTTGCCTGGAGAAAGACTTCTCGACCTTGAGTATGCGGATGATATTGTCTTACTGTGCGATAATGCCCAAGGCATGCAATCCGCACTTAATCAGTTGGCAATCAATGTCCGTAGGTATGGTATGTGCTTTGCACCTTCGAAGTGCAAAGTACTTCTACAAGACTGGCAGGATTCCAATCCTGTACTCACCCTGGATGGTGAGCAGATAGAAGTAGTCGAGAAGTTCGTGTATCTAGGTAGCTGCATAAGTGCTGGTGGGGGCGTGAGTGATGAGATCAATGCACGAATAGTGAAAGCCAGAGCGGCTCCTGCCAATATGGGCCACCTTTGGCGCCTTCGTGATGTTAGTCTGGCTGTAAAAGGTCGGATCTACAACGCGTCGGTGAGAGCAGTTTTGCTCTATGCTTGTGAAACCTGGCCTCTCCGAGTTGAGGACGTTAGACGACTCTCTGTGTTCGATCATCGTTGTCTCCGAAGGATTGCTGACATCCAGTGGCAACACCATGTCAGTAATGCAGAGGTTCGGCATCGTGTGTTCGGGCACAGAGACGATAATGCTACTGGTGTCACCATCTTGAAACACCGACTTCGGTGGCTTGGACATGTTCTACAAATGTCGTCCCAGAGGATTCCACGTCGTGCATTATTTGCCGACTCTGGGACTGGTTGGAAGAAGCGGAGAGGTGGTCGGTGTATGACATGGTGTCGTGGTATGAAAGAAAGCTGCAAAGGACTGGCTTCTGTCGGTCCTTCACGACTCCCTGGTTGGGGTCCGAGAGATGGTGCTACACAGTGGCTAGAGACGTTATCAGATATGGCTCAGAATAGAAGACAGTGGCGATCTCGCTGTAACCTTCTTTTACTTTCTTCATAAAAAGTGGTTGTGTCTTCCTTAACTGAAAGATTTCTTCTGATTGTACCTTTCCGTTCCCTCATTATTACTATTATTATTACTACACTACCTTACATCAACCTCTTCGTTATTGTTCTTTTTTTCACGCTCCTTATCTTTTTTTATCTTTCTTTTCGAATTCTTATTGATTTGTGTGGCGCATATATATTGGTGATCTCTTGTACCAATATTTATGTGTTCAAATAAATAAATAATAAAATACTTCAGCAATCAATGATTTCATTAACTGATGGTATGTATTAGTTTGGCCGTTTTTAACTTTCCTTCCAGCATACACCTTTTAAAACCACAATCATATATCGAGGTCTGCAGTGGTTGGACGTATGCAATACAAGTTTTAGCCAACTCAGTCGATGAAGATTTGCAGAGTCATCGACTGACTGATAATTTAAATGATGATCATTATACGCTTTGTTGACTTTGACTGCTGAGAACTTTCATTTCAAATTTTTTCTTCGGTTCCAAGTTTAGCCATATGGATGAAGACACCACATCTTTAATTCTGAGAAGGCAGATTTACGACTCGAAACATTTCCAATACTCGTGAGTATTTTGTGATATATATAGTAGTCAGGTTCTAACACCAAATATACGGAGAACATACGAAAGTTAGAAACCAAGTGAAACGAGTTAAGCTATATGTATACCTTTTAATTCTCGCAGCTTGCTGCTCTTTGATTTAATCTCGAAATCGCTCTTCAAAAGTCCTAAATGAGGGTTAAAGAATTACTGAGGCTAGTGTTTTAGACATTATATCAGTGAAACTGATTTCTCGGTGGTTATCGCATGACAAATTTGTCCCCCACAAACTAGAACGGCCAGCAATCAGGACCAATCAGACAGAATGACACCCAATTCCCATGTGTTAGCTATCTTATTTAACTTACTCGCTAAAACTGGGCCGCCATTTTTGGGGGTCTCTATTGTTAGGCTCTAAGGGCTCGACACTCCCTCTTTTTAGGCGACCTATAGCACTCAACCTCATTAGAAGTTGAGAACCTGTGTGAATTCGTCATTCCGGTTAATTGATGACCAAGGATAGCCAGTCTCATTAATTTATTGAAACTGTAATTTTTACATCTACCCATTTCTCCATAACTCGGTCTCTGTTTGAAGATATCGGTCAGTTAATACTAGTCATGAAAGATGGGTGCGCGAAGCGGTTTGTATTCAGCCCACATATCTATGGAGTTGTGGACAATTATCCGAGAATCTACTGTCTCACAAGTAAGAAAGTCCCGTTGCCATTGTTAACTCCGAAACTTATTTCGAGAAAGTACATTTTTTAGGTAGAAATCACTGGATAAGTTTGAATATTAAATAAACTAGTGGATTATATGAAGTAATTTCACATGGTCTTTAACTGGATAAAAATACCTAACGTCTATGCTTTATAAATGATGATTCGAGGAACGAATTAGTCACATTTGTAAAAAAGCCTACTTGCACTTCGCTTTGTCCAGATGATGTGGTTCCTGCGTAGGGCCAACTTGGTGGTTTAGAGGAAGAAGAAAACCCCCCGGGCTCATCTTCATCAAACGGATTAAAGGACTTTCTCATGACCTTGGGTAGTCTTAATCTACCCACTCTTAGAATGGGTCAAATGTTCAAGTTGTTGTGGATGGAATAGAAGAAGCTTTCGCTTAACGGGCTTCCGTGTCTAGTAGCAGTGAATCACCAATACCTCCAGGAAGGAAGCTAGATACATTATCGATAAAAGAGGAAAAGTAAAAAAACTTGGTAATTCATAATAAGATAATGTCCTTAGTCCTTAAGAGTATATCAAGTTTCCTCTTGTATGACTCCCAAAAAGTCGCTTGGACTAGCTCAGCCGGCAGAGAATTTCAGCATTTGACTACCCTTAAGGAATAGGAAACTTGTCTACAATCTGTTCCGCTGTGCTGATTCTCCAGTTTCTGAGTTATACCCCTAATGTTTGTGTTTGGACTAAGCTTAAGTAGGTGTTTAAAGGGGTGTTCAGAAATATTTATGATGCTGTAAGCCGTTAGAGGGTCAACTCTAAGACGCCTGTACTCCGATGGGCAAGGGTTCAGTGATTGGAGACGCTCTTCATAAGACTTGAATATGAGTACCCGAACTGATTTCGTGGCTCGCCGTTGGATACGTTCTAGAGTGTCTCTACTCTTTGGAATGAGGGAGGAAATACTATGTTTCCGTAATCCAAATGGGGACCGATAAAATTGTTCGAGATTATATGGAAGGTTCTTCCGTCGAACTAGCCGAAAATGCGCTCCAATGTTGTCAGTGCAAAGTTTGGTCGAAAGGCATTTTTGTCACAGTTAGCATAAAACTTCAAATCGTAGGATACCAGGACTCCTAAATCTTTTTCAACTTGAAATACTTCTAGACAGGAGTTTCTTAAGTTTTGACTGTAATCTACAGCACGTCTCAGATGGACTACCTTACACTTCGAAGTGTTGAAGGTAAGTTCGTTATCATCTGCCGAACTTTGAAGTCGAGTCGGATTCTCTTGAAGTGCCAAATCATCCTCTTGGTTTCGTATCTCTCTCCAAAGTTTCGCATGAACAGCAAAAAGCAATAAATCTGACAATACCTGTTGTGAAAGATCATTTATATAAGTCGAGAAGAGAAGAGTTCCTAGTACTGGACCCTGGTAGACCCCAGTAGGACATTTCGTAGCCCGGAGGAAAGTGAAGTTAACTCTGGTCTTAAAATGTCGATCTTTTTAGATGTGAATTGAGCCAGTCAATTAGAGTTGACTTGATACCCAATCGTTTGAGCTGATTGATAAGGCATATTTGGTTGACCCTATTAACCAAAGTCAAGGTAAATGACTTCAACCTTCCCCTTGTGATCAAGGATGGTTGTCCATCTGTCCACCGTAGTCAGCAGAGTGGTTATACAAGAATGACTCTTCCCGAAACCATGCTGTTGGTGTGAAAAGAAGTTTTCGGATAATTAATAGTCGTGTATACCGTCGCATATCAGTGACTCCACAATTTTTGAGGGTGTAGAGAGGAGTACTACCGGTTGGTAGCTTGAAGGTTTTCTGCGTCAACCTCCTTTGAAAATCGGTGTGATGTGAGCCAGCTTTCAAATGTCCGGTAATGTACCTCGGCTTAGCGAGTGTGAGAATGTAGAATTATGATCTACTATGATATTAGTAATGCTCTAATAATAGACCTAATCCTAAATTTGTGGATTTGTCATGATATAACTACCTAATCTATAAGATCTTACGTGGAAGTCACACCATCGACTACACCAACTCACTGTATCGTATCAAGTACCAATACATGATGTAGAACAAGGTTAGGCTAGAGAAAGAACAATATATTTAATATGAATAGAAGATATAAGGTGACATTCAGCAGAGACCACGCCTGCATGGCCGAGCCATGCCACTCGATCAACTTCAGTCCATTCAACTCATTGTTCGCGCGTTCTCCATTGTTAGGTATTTCTCCGCGTTAAATATTGAATATCTATTTTCTGAGTAGTCGCGTGTTCAGCTATGTGGATTGTTTGGTTATTGTCCAATGCCACTACACTTCTCTCCCACCAGAATCAACGTGATGTTGGTTCGATACCGAATTGGATGGGATTGTCGTGCACCGAAGGTTACCAAGACTAGGAAGAATCCCCCGGAGTAATGATAAGCTGAAAGATAAATCAAAAAGAATGCGGCAGCATCTGGTCGGAAAATACATGTAATAATTTTAAAATATCTGCCTTCATGCTTAAAACGCTTGAAATGAGAATTTGGGTGAAGATTATTTGAACTATAAAGAGTGGCATAACAATAATAATAATAAAAAACGATGCGTGTTAATAGCCGTTGGTTAATAACTTAACGTAAAGGTAGTATTTTGTGTTTAGAAGTATTAAAGTGATGAATATTGTAGAAATATTAATATTGGTATTAGTTTTGGTTTAAATTATGAAACCGATTAACAATTATGCCGGTAACCCGTCCATATGTGATTTCCAATTGCATCTGTATTAGTAGGCTAACTGAAGGAACAAAAGTATACCGTGGAGAAGAATTCCAACTAGTGTTCCTGTTAGTTTGATACGGTTTATTTAGTTACGGGGAGATTTTCTCAACCTCATTTTCACTTGACCGTGATAGAATTTAGTAATACTACTAATACACATGAATGTTCATCAAAACACAATTTAAATACGTGAGTGATGATTATATGAATTTTGGACAGATAGCTAGGAACAAATCGTTAAGCATGAGTGTATTTGTAAGAGACATGTTCTAGACTCAATGTTCTGATCTGTGGCAGACTATTCATTTATATTTATACTTGCCGGCTGATTGGGCATACAAGTTAGTTGCAATTATGCAGTTTATTATAAGGCGGAATACGATTTAATTGAGATATAGTGGTTATAAGTTATTAAAATCAGTTAGGCCTGTGTCATATTACGAAGTGATGTGGTGCTGCAAGATGTATTTAGCTAAATAAGTTTTTACAAGATGATTAATAGTGAGTGATGCTCATGTGATTAACAGGGAGAACATAAGTTGTAACCAGGGGAGTACACTCCCAACTCATGTCTATGATAATGGCTTGAACCTTAGTCAGTGTTGGGGTAAATTCGACATTGATGTTTTCAGTTTGCAGGAGATTTGCTCGACTGCTTATACTGATTATTTGCATGCATGATTGTGTCGCTAAACCATCAATTAGACTGACAAGGTTTTGAGATATTTACTGAGTGAGCATCTGATAGAGAAACATACTGTAATCATCTGTAGTGAATGAAGATAAAAGAAAAAACAACACTAGTGATAATTATAAGTCAATTTGCTGACCGATTTTGTTAATAGTTTCATTAATTTTATCAATCATATTACGTGATTGTCAAGTCATGACAATGCTTTATGACGATATCCTGAAACTATTATGTTTAACTAGTTATAGTGTTGATTGAGGATTAGTCAGTGGAAAAATAGGTATTGTTGCTTTAGGTGATTCGAAATTATCAGAAATTTATAACGTTAAAGAATCCGAGACGCCTAATTTAATTATAAATTTTAATTCAGAAAGATTCGTTTAGTGTTAATTCTAGTAGGCTATGGAGTTTTGATTTTAAACGTTTGTTTAGCCAACAGCTACCTGGGATTTAGTTATTTGACTAGTGCCGTTGATAGTACCTAAATTTTTAATCTTATTATCTAAACTATGTTCGCATTTTAGGCTGCTACTATGATAAACCAATCCATAAACCCAAATACGATTAGCAACAACGACTATGATGGGTTTATTGATAAATGTTAAAGGCGATCCAGATGATTTCTAAATTTAGAAGACATGGAGATATAGTGCAACGCATGTATGGGCCAGGTTAACATGCAGGTTGTTGACGTATATGACAATTTGAAAATAATGAACATGATGAGAAAGATAATTTTAAAGTTAAGACTGCTTATGAAACTTCAGGCAGGAATATGACGCGTTATAAACATTCCGTAAGAAGTTAATGCATTTAGCCTAGGGACACTTACAAATATATGGCAAAAGCAACTGGAAAACATATACATGTTAAGTACAAAAAAATCATTAAGTAAAATAGTTGAACTCGCCTGGGTTATTTTTGAAAATTAGATTATTCAGTGGACGACATATATAACGCCATTCGTGAATAGTAATGATCCAAAAGTATCCAGAATAAAACATGCAGTATGGCAATTAATTCCAGGGTGCTTGATGCTGTTGAGGTTTTCGGGACTCGCTTTGATCAGAACTGAATGAATCCAGATAATTGTGTGTGCCGTTGAATGAGCCATCTAAAATAAACTTATGATTGCAGAAAACTTATAGCTGGAACTCACCGTATTTTTTTGGAGAAGTTTCATCCTTGTTGTTTGGCAATGGAACTCGAGAATATGAAATTAGGCAGGCAGTGGTCGGAAGAAAAGATATTACAGGATAGTGCATAGTTTAAAACAGGATGAGGTGATAAGATAAGGAACACTGAATATTAGATCCAGGTAACTATTTAGTCCTTGCTGCATTGTTAGTCAATGTATATTTGCGTTATTTACAGGTCATATTTGCTAGAGCTTGATGCTTAAACAAGTCTATGTCGCTGAAGCATGTAAATTCTATTAAAGCTTGTTAGCGAACCATCAAAGCTAATTAGCTAATATAGATGATCAACTTTTATTATCGATTGAGCTAGTAAGTTATGTGAACTAGTAGATATAACATTACGATAATATGTGTGACCATTAATCAAAGGACTATTAGAATACTGGGTTTACTAAAATAAAAACCGATTGAGAAGGTTAAGGTGGATATAAGGATTAACAATAATAGGTTGCGTTTCTTTAGTTGGGCTCACCAATGTAGAATTATGGTCTACTATGATATTAGTAATGCTCTAATAATAGACCTAATCCTAAATTTGTAGATTTGTCATGATGTAACTGCCTAATCTATAAGATCTTACGTGGAAGTCACACCATCGACTACACCAACTCACTGTATCGTATCAAGTACCAATACATGATGTAGAACAAGGTTAGGCTAGAGAAAGAACAATATATTTAATATGAATAG